AAAAAAAAAAAAAAAATTCACAAGGCCGAAATCACAAGCAAAAAAAGAAGAAGAAGAAGATATTTTTGACCGTTTGAGATCTAGTGTCGACAAATTAAGATTTCAATGGAAGAGAGGGTGGATTCTGAGACACTTGGTTATGTTAAGCATTTATAATTTAAGACAATTTTTCACTTCTTTTCATTTATTATATCTAATCCACTTAACTAAAAAACCCGTCATTGTGTTTAATCACTGGAGCAACCTAAGTACAATAATTCAGTGTGAAGAAAGTTCAACGCACTGTGGGGGCTCCTTGTTGGAAGCAAAACAACTGTGTCAACTCAGACCTTTTCCACTACACCAACGGCTTAGTTTCAACAATGCCTTAAGTCCCTAAAATCCCTAATTTCTCCAACATAGGAAGCACAATATGAGAAAAGATGTTATAATCGTATCATCTACCCCACCCATGGAAATGAGCTTTTAGCCATAGCTTTCTTTACCATCTTTCCCAGATCCTGAGAAAATACTCATAGGCCAGAAGCATGTCTGTGGTGAGATGGAACCAAAACGAGCTCGGTTCGACTGGAGAAAAAGAGTTGAAGGGTGGCCCTCTTCCTCCAACCACCCTTGCTGCCATTGAATCCTTAGCAATACCTCTTGTGAGTTCACTTTTTCTCTTCTAGAAAAATATTGCTTTCTTGGCTTGCGTGGTTAGGTTAATTTTACATCTTTTACGGTTCTGTACTATGTATCCAGTCTTGTCCAGTGCTACCACTTAAGATTATGCTCATAGATGGTGGCATTTTGTTCTTAAACAGGTACAGGAAGTTGTGTTCTTAGCAGATTTTCGATGCTCTGGATGTCAACAGCGAGTGGCTGAGATCATGTCTAAAATGAATGGTAAGGCTCTTTATCCTGGACTTGGATTCTATTTCCACTCCAGTTTGATTTTGTGGTTATAGGAGATGCCTTCATCAGCCATTCTATCCCACCAGTGGAGGTTGTCAATTTGACATTTTGGGCTTTCTTGTGGGGGTGGGGATAGAGTGGTCCATACAGTCCACGCTCAGATAGAATATGCTATATTGTATTTGCTGACAATCTTGAAATTCTGGGTAGTTACTAGTTTATTAAACCCATTGGATTCCTTTTTGAAGTAATTTTTAGGGGTCTGGAAAAGCACTTTAGATAAACTTTTTGCATTATTTTTTTGGGGTTGGGATTAAAGTTGCAGAGGTGTGAACTCGGAGTAGCACTTAGCCCCCGTTTGTCTCCCATTTTTTCTTCATTAAAATGAAAAGTATGACCGTTATTCATCACATTAAGCCACCAAATGTGAATTTCTATCTTTTGTGTGGAGTCCATAACAACTATATTTTTCATTCTCATTTTTACATTAATGTGTACCAAACGGGCTCTTAATTACACGGGCTTCTTTTATTTTCTTTAAAAAATTAAATATGAAAATCTATTGGACAGTAATAGCTCGACTCGACGAGATTGAGTATCCTTAGTCATAAGAGCAAATCAAGTCTCATGGTGGTCGATGGGATTTGGACTAGGTGATAGAGGAAATAAACGTTATATTAAACAAGATAAGATTAACGAAGAGAGAGATATAATGAAAGTATGTAAATTGTTCTTTTTAATTCCATAAAGTCCAATGTGCCAACCAAACAAATTAGATTTCATCTTGTAGTATTGTAAATTCCTTCTAAAATTTATCAATATCTTGTTCAAATTTATGAAGTCCAATGTTACAAACAAATTTGAGAATCTTAGGGTTTGTTTATTTTTTCGCAAGAAACCCAACTCCCATTGTTAATAGGTTTGGTTAGGTACTTGTGGTTCTGGTAGTTCAGGTCAAAGAGACCAAAACATTCGATTTGTCCCATTTGAAAATATTTAAAAAGTGTCTCTTATAGTTTATACCTAACATATTAGAGATTTTGTTTGTTCTAATTCAATATATTTTGGTACCTTAGTTTGGTGTAACCTTTTCAAAAAACGGGGCAAAATAAAACTATTCTTGATATAAATAATTAGTCCAAAAAAAAAAAAAAAAAAAAAAAACAGAAAATAGAGTATGATAGTGTTCCAAACGCATTATTAAAACATATAAATTATGAAAAATAAATGAACAAAACATGCTAATGGGACGTGAAGTGTTGACCGTTGCACAATAAAGGTTTCGGCCTTTTCATTACATAATATTGTCTTTTCTCATATTTCAGGAGAGACTCAATCCGTGATGGTTAGTATATTGGAGAAGAAGGTAACACTAACATGTACATATGAAGCTGCTAACAAATTGCCTAGAGGAAGACAAATTTCTTCTGTACATCGAACTTCATTACGTAAAGTTTGTCTCATAATGCGCCCGTTTCTCTCTTCTTGCACTTGAACATATTGTAACTCAAAAGCTCCATACAATAAAACAATCCTTACACAAATATATGTTCATGCCAAACTATCTATCTATAGCTGTTAGTATCTGCACTTATATTCGAGCAGTGAATCATATCTCATCAAATTAACATTACTCGGAAGAAAGAATTATGTTATGAATTGTACAGTGGTGTTTTTTTTTTCGCCCTCCTTCCATTTCTTAATTTGTGAAATGTTGGACCAAACTTTCCCCATGAAATGTGCCTTTTCGTGCAGGATTTGATGGAGTTGCTAATTTTCTTTCGTTTGAATTATATCTGCATGTAGAGGTCTTTATCTAATTTCTAATGAGAATGTTCCCTTGATAGAAATCTATTTTTGTGCTCACAACTCTGAGGTGACGTGGAAAATATTTCACACGTGATCCTTGCGTCATTGAGTCATGTGACCTACTCAATAATTATTATTGTTGGTTATTATTTAGCCCTCGCTTGATTCCCATTTTTGGGATAAAATGCATTATGAAATAGTGAGTTTTTAGAGAATGTGTGGTTAGAAAGTAAGGAAAAGCATGTGCAATACTTGTATAATTATTTTATAGAAAATGATTAAAAATAAATTTTGAAAAAATGCATTATTAAGAATGTGGGAATTAATCAGGTAGTCTACTCCTTAATTGGGTTATTTTTGCCTTTTGAAACCCAAGACCCTTGGGCCTTTCCCGTTCAATTATTCGACTGTCCAGAGGTCGAAGATGTTTTTGCTAATAACTTCTTGGACTTAAATTGTGGCCCATATACAGCTGATTATTTATTTTTTTGCCTCGTATAAACAAAAGTGTTTGATAACTTTGCATCTTATGCCCGTCATATATAGAAGTTCTTCAACGTCAATTCAAGAACAAATTCTTTAAGTTACCTATAATCATTGTTATGAAATCCAATCCGATCGTTGATTCGGAAAAAAATAACGAGTTATCAAATCCCTGGTTCAATCGACGGGCCGACCAAATAAAATATATATTTAAATATTAAATGCTATTTATATATGTTTGTATTACTAATTTAACTCTTAAATAATCTGAAATTTTATTTCAAAAATATATAAAATTTATAGAACTTCTATAAGTAATTAGAATTGCTAATACAAATTACTTATTTACATCTTTTACATGTATGTAACACACACACACACACACATAATGGATTGGGTTAGTTCTGGGCGAGCCTCTAAAACATCTAATTCTATCGTGTTTTGACCGGTTAAGGTGGGCCTTGACCTATTTGCATGCTGTTGGTTCAATTGTCTAACCCGGCCTAGCCTAGCCTAACCTCGACCGATTTGCATGCTGTTGGTTCAATTGTCTAACCCGGCCTAGCCTAGCCTAACCTCGACCGATTTGCATGCTGTTGGTTCAATTGTCTAACCCGGCCTAGCCTAGCCTAACCTCGACCGATTTGCATGCTGTTGGTTCAATTGTCTAACCCGGCCTAGCCTAGCCTAACCTCGACCGATTTGCATGCTGTTGGTTCAATTGTCTAACCCGGCCTAGCCTAGCCTAGCCTAACCTCCAGTTCGACAGTTTTCGGGCCGACTTATTTTTGCAAGGGCAAAGGTATCTAAAAACTGCGCGGATAAAATGGGACAAGCCTGTCTCTCTAGGAGCTAGACGACTTTGACTTCGGGATCTAATCCAGTATTGAGAGAAAAATATTACTTCCACGGAGATTTCCTTTCAGCAAGTGAGAAGAATGGGTGTTTGTTAGTGTGAAAAAATATTTAGTGGGGTGTATAATTGCTGTGAATGGGTCTTCATTGGAGGGTTGGTACCAGAGAAAACACCAATCCATTACCTCATCGAATAACTTTTCGCTTTTCAATGAGCTTTCAAGAAGAGATGCCGAAGGGGTGTAATCAGTGTATTGTTGGACTTTTTGGCCTGTTGATAAAAGAAGTAATATAATCTATCATTCTCAGCATACATGGACTGGCTAACCATTTATTTGGCAACACTATGGATCACTAATTTTTTGTCGAGAAATGTGCAAATGGGTTGCCTGATTCGGCAGCAGATATGGCAGCAAGGCTGTAGTATGGTCGTATGGACAGCCAGTTTGTAAGCTTCAGGTGAACACCGATGCGGGGGATCGTTTGAGCATGGTGGTGGCTGCATACGGCAGGAGGATGCAGAGGTTCTAGCATTTGAGACCGTCTTCTTTTCTGTGAGGAGTGTGCTCTTCAAGTTGATATAGGAGAATGAGAGGCATCAAGAGCAATCCAATTGTCCAAACTGTACAGGATGAATATAGTTTAGTCCCAAATGCATTAATTTTTATGTAGCGGCGGATCTAAGAATTTTTGGCGTACGGGCTAAAATTTAAAAGTCAATATAGCCCTTGTTTGAGCCACATTATTGTAAAAAATGAAAATGAAAATTCAGTCGTTATGAGCCCACAAAAGAGATAAAAAGTTAAATATGTTAGCCGTTATTCATTTTAATGAGGAAATAATGGGGCTCAAACATGGCCATAATAAATTTATATATTATATTAAAGTCAAATTCATTTAATTTGAAGATGTTCCCGACGAGGTTTTGAAATATAAAATTTATCTATCATAGAATATATATCTATCTTTTGAGCAAGTTCTCATTCGATGAAGAGTGTCATACAATCATCAAGAAATTCATCCTTCATTTTGTTACGAAGATCCGTCTTCACATGTTTCATTTTTAAAAATGCTCGCTTAGTAGTCGCGGTAGAAACAGGTAAAGTCAGTACAAGATGAATCAGTCTAGTAACCATAATATAAATCTTCGACCTTCTACTCTCAGTTAACTGCCGACATAACTCAATAAGTGTATATACTTGAGATAGAGATTCAGTCTTCATATCTAGCTCATAGTGTCGCAACTTATATTTCAAAGTACGAATATCTTGCTTTGAAAAATCTTCAAGATATAATTTCTCAACAAGTGTACAAATATCGCGACTGTTAAATGATGCAAATGAATCTCTAGGATCCAAAACTGCACCGAGTGTAAG